TCTTCTGCCTTTGCTGCCACTTGCCCCCCGAAGATCTCTACTGGACTCTGCAAATGACCGGCGGCCAGGGGGGCCAGCACCCCACCTGCCCTGCTTTCTCCCGGCTTTCTTCCCCTCATGCCTGAAAATTAGCTGCCGAGTGGCATGATCCTCGCAGACATGATCCTCACAGCCCAACGGACACTCCCAACACCTCCAGCCCTGCAACTCGGCCACCTCCAGCAAAGCTGGGCCTTCTCCAGCAGTCCCAAGTGGCCCCTCGCACAGATGCACAGCCTGCGGGGCCAGCGGAGAGCTCCAAACCCCGCCCTTGGCTTTTCCCAGTCGGGGAGTCGTTTTATAAGACAACCAGAGCAGCCGGAGAAGGCAGCCTACATTCTGCCCCCACAGCCTACCCAGGTGGGGCGGGGTCGGTGGAGAGCTCGGGGATTCAGTGTTCTCAGAAACTGCGATTTCAAGATGATGCATTCTGTAGCTAAAAGGGATGTTCAGCCCCCTCCTCTTCTCTCGTCTTACTGACGAGGACACTAAGGCACAAGGGGAAATTAACTGGTTTACAGTGACGGGAAGAAAACGGAAGCCAGTTAGGCCAGTGGTTCTGCTCTGCTCCTTCAGGAAAACGAGGCCGTGTCTGCGAAGGTGGGGAAACTGAGGCACGCAAGATGATGGCCGTGGATTTCCACGCACCCTGCGCACAGGCCCTTCTGACAGCATCCCTCCACACTCCCTGTGGGAGACAGGCACCACCTCCGCATCTCACAGAGGAGGAGCAGGGCTCTGGGTGGGCTGCTGGCCCCGAGGAGGGCTGTGAGAGGCCCTGGCCCGTGTCCCTGTCCTCCTGCCTTCCCAGCCTCCTTCAGACGGACACAAACATCTGCAGATGGTCCCCAAGAACCAGAAATCACCCTCTGCTCAATCGGATTGTTGTCAACAGAAGTCGAGGGTCCTGTGAAATGCTTTCTAATTTCAACCCATTCTTTTAATTGTCAATCCTCGATTTGCCCAAGTAATTAACAAAAGCTACATCTGTAAAGATTTTCCTGCAGGATCCGCTATCATGACAAACCTCAGAAATGGCTTAAATGTCCAACAAGCAAATGTCCAACAGCCCAGAAAAGGTGATGCTGGTGCACGGAAGTGCCCAGAGCATTCAGAGCAGGAAGGCAGGCCGAGCCGAGAACAGCTCACACCAGTGTGCAGGAAAGCAGCATCCGACACGCTCCTGAGGAGAGCCAAGACCAGCAGCATGGAGACACTGGGGTGGGGCGCAGAGAAGGAAAGGAGAGCCCCTGGGCTGGCTGGTTATGGATTGAAACAGCGCTCACGTCCTTCCGTGATCTCATATTTTTATTAAATATCTCAGATTAAGAGAGGAAGGAAGTGATAGGTACCCGGAGCAGTTATTTCAATGCTGGTCTGTGAGACCGGCTCTAACCCTGTGTCTTATTTCCGTGTTTTGAGGCAATGGGGCGATTGAACGGTGTGACCTCGACTACGATCTACAAAGTCTCCGTTTCCCCTTGGCACCTTTAATCTGTTAATTATTTCTTTAGTCCAGGGGCGAAGGCCTGATTGTTTTCTGCTTTTCCATAGAATTAAAGCCAAATCAGAAAAAAAATGAGCTTCTATCTCTATTTCTGAGATACGTTAGTTAACCACGTGAATTCATCTTCTTTATGGATCCAAAATAAACAAATAGCAGAATTTCCCATGGTCCGCCAAGAAAGTTTTAATGACCGCAGGATTTTACCTTAAACCAACCCGACCTCACCTGAAGTCACAGTCCACTCAAACTGCCTTGTCCCCTTCCAATTTCTTTCCTGGTTTTTGTTTAGTTTTGTTTTTAAAGCACTTTGTTGAATACTAAGTTGCCCAGAGGAGAGGGTCACAGGACGCCAATCCAGCAGGCCCAGGTAGACCATTAACGCAGACCTGACGGTGGGGGACATCTGGATCCCCTGCTCTCAGCAAGCCCCGATGCTGCTGGGCTCCAGGTGCTGTCCTTGGGGCTCCAGGAGCAGGACGGCTCATCCCTCGGGAACTCTGAGCGGTTTTCAGGCTGGAAGACGTGGCTATGCGGCAGGGACCAGGGATCACTGTGTTTCGACTAACAGGTTAAAGGACTGATTTAATCATTTTCTTTAACCAGATGGAATGAATGCGTGTTCCAAATTGATTAAATTGACCATCACTCTCCTGCTGACAAGAAATAGCTTTGTCCAAGCAGAATTAAGAAAGCTATTTTGAACCATTTCTGAATACTGCCCACCCAGGGGACCCACAGGAGAAAAGGGACTCCCGACACGTGTGTCCTAATGCAGGACAGTTGTTCTGGTGCCTGGACCCTGCTAGGTAAAGCCCAGGGTGCAGTGCTGGCCACTGTTGGAGGTAAAAGCGTGGACATCCAAGAAAACCAAATCTGGTTGTTAGAGAACAAAAGCAAAGCTGAGAAGAGCAAGTGACTACAGCCGGGTTCCATGCCTCGGCCAGCGCCCAGCGCCACTCTGGGAGGTGGTGAGTGGCAGCAGACGTGGCCTGTCACCCGCAGGACAGGCACCAGCGGCCTCTCTGGGCATGCAGAGCCCAGTGCAGAGGCCAAGGCAAAGGGACGGCGGTGAACTTGTGCTGCGTCACGTCCACGCTCCTGCCGGTCCTCCAGCAGCCTGACCGAGGCTTGGTGTTGCAGATGGACACACTAGACACGCAGGCACCCGCACCACCAGGCCGCCTGGGCGGGTTCTGAGCAGACCAGGTGGTCCCAGCTAGGATCCCAGTGAGACGCAAACGGATGTCCCTCATCCTCGGGCCACCCTGAGGAGGGTCGCGGGGCCACGCTATTTCTGATTTTCTCCCCTTTCAATATTGACATTATATATTGTTTTCACTTTGGGGAAATCTTAAAAATTTAAATTCAAAATTCCATGAACATCCCAAACTCCAAGCCTCCTTTCCCCCCGGCCAATGTGGGATCATGGAGTGCACCCAGAATTCAGAGAAGGGGTGAGCTGGGTGCCAACAGATGGGGGAGATGCCGCTGCGGCCTTACAACGCAATCGGAATGAATGGAGAACCCCAGCGGCGGGTTTCCTCTCCTGTGCCTAGGTTTACAAGAGCTCAGTCGAGGTGTAATAGCACTAATTGGTGCAAGTTCTCTAACTGGCTCATACACGCAGGGCATATTGCATTCACTTTCCACCTCACATCTCTACTACCTTGACTTTAGAGATAAGAAAACTGAGGCCCAGAGAGGCTCAGTAACTTGCTAAAGTTGCACAGACAGAAAATGCTGTGGTTGGCCTGACTCTACCAAGTCCAGTGACTTCCTAAAGCAGAGCTGCTCACAGCCCTGGGGCTTCATGTCCGAGCTACGTCTTTTCACTAAAGAAAGCACCAAAGCTGCGCAGACCCCCGTGCATTCTTGGCCATGGTGGGGCAGGGAGTCGGGCACCAAGGAGCCAGGGTCACAGCCGTGTGCTGCGCACCAGGCAGGCCATCCTGGTCCTTCCGGCCTAGGCCCTGGAGGCCGCCTGGGCAGGTTCTGGACAGACCAGGTGGTCCTGGTCAGGATCCTGGTGAGTCGCAAGCGGGACAGGCCTGGTAAAAGCCCATGTTTGAAAGCGGCTCGGGGACAGGTCACAACAGGGCCCGGGCCGGGAAGGCCCCACTGCTGCTGACAGCCCTTCCTGCAGGGGAGCACTGAGGCGGCCTCAGGCGGCCCCGGGCGTCTGTTTATCAGCCTCTCTAGAAAGAGCTGATGGTCAGGCTCGGACACAGCAAGGTCCTGAAAGCGAGAACCCTTGCCCCGCCCTCTGGGAGTGGGCTTTGCTCCCAGCTCCTGGCAGCCGCGGGCCCTCGCAGTCTCCTCTGTTCCTTCTGACTCCACTGGGCCTGTCCTCAGCCCAGAGCCCACACAAGCCGACCAGCTGGGAACTGCAGGCGAGACCTCCCTCCCGGCCTCCCCAGCCTGAGGCCTCCAGCTGTGCACCATCCTGGCTGTTGGGACCTCCTTGTCCCCTGCACACAGGGAGGGGCTGCCCAGCTCCACCTGGTGCCCTGGCCCACAGCTCGCTGTGACTCACACCCTTTCTGAGAAAAGCTACAATATCAGAGAAAACCCCACGTCCTGCAGCCCTCGCAGCCGGCGAGGTGCCAGCCCAGGGCCAGGCCATGCTGGGGGCCTCGCCTGCCCTCCCGGCACCTCCCTCGTGGAGGCAGCCCCACTGCAGAAGGACGGTCCTAACTCCCTTCCCTGCTCCCCAGACCCACACAAGTGAAGCTCGCCCTGTTGGCAGAAGCAGCCTGACGCCCTCTGGGCAGGCCGCGGCCTCCTTCCCCTCCAGGGTCTGCGCTGGGGAACACGGACGGCCGGCCTCCCAGAGCCCAAGTCCTCCCGCTGGCCCCTCGACAAGGCCCGTCTCTCGTGGTTCCCTGCTTCTGTCTCTGGCCGGGGAAGGGAGTGTCCTAGTGCGGCCCTGGCCGTGAGCGTGACAGGACCCTCTGGGTCCAGAGGTGGCAGGCGCTCTGTGGGGCTGCAGCTCCTACTTCCCACACCTGCCGCTTCCCCCTCCTGGGCCTCTCAGTGCTGGCCAGGAGTTTCAGGCCAGTGACCAGTGCCACTGGCTGTGACCCTGCCTGACTGGCTGGTGACATGTCCTCTGTTGGCAGAGTGAGGGTGCCTGCTCAGGATGACGGGAGGGGACGGTGGCCGGAACGTCGCCGTGTGAGGCGGCCTCGCTGACGCCGGGCTGGCCTCTGCTCCACACTCCCTCTGTCCCAGCTGGCCGGCCTGAGGCTCTCGGGCCTCCTTCCCTCGCCCCCTCCTGTCTCTTCTGATGACCAGGTGATCCATGCTCTGGGCAGCTTGACCCTGGGCTGCAGTTTGGAGCCAGGGCTTCCCTGCCCTTGACTCTGGGAGAGCAGGAGGGGGCAGACACCAGGCCCTCACGCCCTCGAGGACCCCAGCACACGGTCTGAGCTCGTGCCGCCGGGCAGCACCTTACCTGTAACTGGGCACCACACCTGCAGGATGGCCGCGATGGCTAGCGCCTCCCACTTCATCTTGTCCTTTCTCCCAGGAGATGCGGGGCAGAGGACGATGGCAGAGCAGCCTGGGCTCTGAAGGAGGCCCTGCCGCTCTGTGTGCCTCCGCCTCAGGAAGTGGAGGGCCGCGGGCCCTGTGAGAACCCTGCCCTGGCTCAGGCAGGAAGCTCCGAGGCTTGAGGTCGGGGGCGTGTTTACATCAGCCGGCTGGAGCCTGCTTTGTCTCTGGTCTGACCCTCGTTCCGTCTCTTTATTGCTGGCTAGTTCTTGTCCCACGTGTATCCACTTCCCACCTTGATGGGCAGGTCAGTCCCAGCGCTCGCACGGGAGCATGGTCACCGTTCTGCCAGGCCCTCGACTGTTTCGCGGAGGTGGGGAAAGGGCAGAGCTGGATTCAGAGTCGGGCTGAATGTGAGATGAACTGCTGGGCTCTGGGGACATCTCCACCTGCCCCTTGCTTGACCCTTCAGAACCACCCGAAGGCTGCGGCCTCGGGAGCCACCCAGTGGGCCAACAGCCCATCCCTCGTCCACACCTACCAGGCCACGCTGGCCAAGCCTCTGACACTCCCACGAGTCACGGGCAACTAGGAGATTGTTGAAGGGACAGAATTGACGGCAGTGTGACTCGTTGATAGATAATTAACACACTCAGTGCTCCTCGTCAACCTCGGGGAAGCTCTGTTGGCCCAGCACGGGTCACAGGCTGCCCTCCTGATCAGTCATGGCCTTCAGGAGGACAAGACCGGGGCCCTCGCAGAGCCTCTGTGACAGGAAAGGGAGGGGAGGATGGGCACACAGAGGCAGGGCTCTCCACTCTGCCCCGGGCCCTGGGGAGCACTGGGGGCTGGTTGGCTCCTGGAGCGAGGCCCACACTTTGCAGTGGAGGAATCAGGCAGGGGCAGGAGGGAGACCCTGGCGGACACCTGGCCAGCAGCCGGAGCGCCTTCCAGTAAGTGATGCAGACGAAGCCGCTGTTGGCCTGCCCGCCTCTCATGCGCCTCTCGGAAACTGCAACCTCATTCCCCTCCGAGGAGGCCACACTCCCATAGCCTTGGTGGAGGGCTTTGAGAGCGGTTCCCACTGCCATGGGCTCCATTGTAGGCCGAGTCCTCCCACCGGCCAGTCAAAGCACCATATTCTGCAGTTTACAAGGATAGTTCAGAGACAGTCTCCGTGGCACACGCCTACAATCCCAGAGACTCGGGAGGCTGAGGCAGGAGGATCCCAAGTTCCAGGCCAGCCTTAGCAATTTAGCAAGACCCTGGCTCAAGACCAAAAGTGTTGGGGATGCAGCTTGGTGCTGAAGTGCCCCTGAGTTAACTCCCCAGGACAGAGGGGCGGTGGAAGCCCTCTTCCAATTCTTTCTACAGCTCCTGGGAGGGGCACCTATTTCTTGGAGAACAGAAGCGGTGGGGACAGCACCACAGCCATGGCCAGGAGCAGCAGGCTGACCCTCAGGTGTCTCCTTCTGGGGTCCTCAGAATCGGGAGGGAAGCCTCACCCACAGCGAGGCCAGAGGCTGTCTGAGGAGTAACAGGGTCTTCCCCAAGGGGGCTCTGCCCCTTCCCACAAGGCCTTGCACTTGAGAGTCCCTCCCTGGCTTCTGACACTCCCGAGTGCCCACTGTGAAGACCTTTGTCCAGGCTGCAGGGACAGCAAGCCACCTCGTAGTTCCCTGACTCCCAGGTCATCAGAGACCATGCACAAGAGGGAGGGCTGGCTTCTGTCCTCAGCGTTACAGAGTCAGCCCCTCCTGGGGCCCCCTGATGGGACAGCCCCTGAGCCCCCCACCTCTGGCCAACATCCTGAGCCGGCGTCCAGGGCTGCAGGCCACGGAGGTCCAGTGCCTGCTGTTTCCCTGACCAAGTGCTTTCTCAGGGGCCACCATGCGCAGGGACAGACCCTCTGGGCCTGGGTGCTTGTACTGCGCTCTGCGCCCCCCACCCCCAGGGGTCCCTCCGCCTGAGGCCTTTCTCTACTCTCCTCCTGACGACCTCCTTTTCAGACCTGGTGCAAACGCCCCTCACTGTGCAGCCTCGTCCACACCTACCAGGCCACGCTGGCCAAGCCTCAAAGTCCCCTTGTGCTGCTTCTGCAACGTCTGCCACTTCTCTGCCCCGGCAGCGTGCTGAAGTGTGTGACCCCCCAAGCTCTGCCGAGGCCTTGATCACTCTTCTCCAGGGCCCAGGGTGCGGTGGGATTTAACAGGGTGGAGAAAGGGACCCCCCACTCCCACCTGGGGGAGGGTCAGTCCCTGGGGCCAGAGGCCAGGCCTTAGGCAACTCGAAGGCCCAGAAGTGAACGCAGAGCTCAGTGGGCACCCAGGGCTGTTCATCTGGGGTCCCTGCATGAACCAGCGGCAGGAGCCCACCACTGTCACAGAGAGGGAGGGAGGGAGGGAGGGAGGGGCAGGCTGGGGAAGGGGGCCAGCCAGCGGCACCCGCTCTCTAAGGTGCTGAATACGGGCTACACGAGGCTCCCGGCCACTTCCATGACCCTCTCCTGTCCTACCAGAGCTGGAGGAAGGGCAGAGCCCAAGGGGTCCCCACCGGCTGGGACTGAAGTCTGAGACAATGGCCAGACTGTCTGCCTGGCTTGTGGCGTGGCCCATGGGTGGCGGCGTGTGGAATGTGACTTCAGGCCCCACAAAGGATCTCCTAGCCCTAAACAAGATGGCCTCCCTCACCCTTCCCACCCACACTCCGAATCCACACCCGGAGAGTCAGAGTCACTCTTGTAGTTATAATTGGTGGCAGGCTGGAGCTGCCTGTGTCTGCCCACGAGCTGACGGTCAAGTTCTCAGGAAAGTCTCAAGCTGGTTGTTACATCCCCGACAGCTTGAACCTGGCCAGGGGAAGCCGACACCAGACCCACCCCACTCCCGGGCACTGGTTCTTAGGCCCTCGCAGCACAGCGCCGACGGAGGACCCTGTCCTTCCAGCCAGGAAAGCAGACCTCATCAGTCCCCCACCCGCGTGAAGGGCCATAGATGGTCCGGGTAGATGGGACGGAATTATCTAGTCGAACCCCTTGTTTTGCAAGACGAGAATCGAGACCTGGAAGGTGAAAGGACTTGCTGGGATCCTCAGCTGCGTCAGAGGCCAGCCTGCGTCTCGGTGCTGGCTTCCCAGGAAATGGGCTGCGGGGACGATGGGTTTTCCAGGCCCAGCATCCCTTCTCTCTCTGCCCCCATCCCAATCAATTCTGGCCCAGGCGTGGGGTTCAGGTGGCTCGCTCACAGCCCTGCAGCCCAGGGGCGTCCTGGGACCCAGGCCTGGCCAGTCACAGCTCTCTGTCCATCAGCCACTGCGATGATGGCGGGGAAGAGCACACAGTGCGGGGTGCTTTCGCCTGTCCAGCATAATTGCCCCCATGTCCTGGTGACAGTGCCAGTTTTGCTTTGAAGCCTTCCCTGGTGGCCGTGATCCTGGTGGGGTGGCCAGGTGGAGTCAGCTGGCCGCTTCCTCTCTGGACTTTAAATCTTGAGGGAAACAAAGCCTGGGAATGCCCCTAGCTTCCCCGTGCGCGGGCGGCCCCAGGAGCTGCTCCTGGCTCTGGGGTCTCGGGGAATCTGCTCCGGCAGCCCTGCTTTTGGTCTATTCCACTGAGCGGCTTTCTGTTGCTTTGCAGCCAAAGAACGGGACGTGCACGGGGTTCAGTGACTGCATTAGCTTTCCATGCCACACAGCAGGTGCCCACATGCTTAGTGGCCCAAAGCCGCTCAGGGTTATGACCTCACGGTACTGAAGCTGAGTTCTCTTCCCTCTCACCTACACGAGTGAGGTCCCTGTGTCCTGCTAGCTGTTGGCCAGGGGCCACCCTCGGATCCCAGAGGATCCTGCACTTCCTTGCCACGCGGTCCCCTCCGTAGTTCCCGGGGGGACGTTTGCTTTCTCCCCATAGCTCTGACTTGCTGCCCAGCAACCAGCCGGACCAAACTGCCTGGAAAGGGCTCACCTGATTAGGTCAGACCCCTCCAGCTACCTTGCCCTTTGCCCCGGAGCTCAACAGAAGCACAGGAGTGCTAGCTCTTCTGTGGACGGTTCCTCTCCCAGCCAAGGAGATCGCGTGGGCATCTGCAGCAAGGTGAGGGAAGCCCGGCGGCCATCCTGTCTCCCACAGAAGGAAACTCTACTCCCTCGTCTGCGAGGACGCGCTCCGCGGCTCTCCGTCTTTCTCTCCAGCAGAAAGATGCCCAGGGAAGGGGCCAACACAGGGGACAGCAGAGCAAGAGCCGTCAGCCCAGGGGCACACACCCACGGAGACCCTGCTGAGCCAGGCCAGCAGCCTGCCCCACGGGCTTCCCCACCCACTCACGAGCCGGGAGCTTTGGTCTCAAGGACCACAGATGCCGGGATGCCTGCCGTGGGCACCCTGCACACTGGCCTGGCCCCTCACTCCGTGGGTCCAGCGCTCTCCACTGGGGGCAGATTTCCCAGGGAAGCACGGCCCTGGTGGACACCCCAGTCATTGCACACTGTTGCCAGTGAATCTTCCTGATGACGGAGTCAGGCAGACACTCCCCACGAGTCCCCTGGGCAGTCAGGGAACGAAAACGCGCCCAGGTCACAGGGCTGGCGGTGGCTGTGGAGGTGGGGTCCCACGTGTCCTGGTCCTGGGTGCTGGGGCTCGGGCTTTAGAGCAGGCAGGTGTGAATTCCTGCCCACCTCTCAGGAGCCGCCCAGCACCTGAAGGCCTCGTCCACGGGCTCTGCCGGCCACTGCCCTGCGCTGGTGCAGGAAGGAACGAGTGAGTAGGTCCCGTGCCAGGACACAGATGCAGGGGAACGTCGGCCCCCGCGTGCCCTGGGAGAGGAGAACACCAGGGACAGCAGCAGGGGCTTGTCCAGAGTTCCTCAGCAGGAGCGGGGCAAAGACCTCCCGGAGTGCTGGGCCCAGAGGAGGCATGGCCGCCGTCTCTGTGCAGAGTGGGAGGTGCACACAGCCCTTCTGCTGGAGGGGGCCCGTGTCCCCGGAGCAGGCCGCTGAGTGCTTCACCTGTGCCTTCGGCTTGAGCCCAGGCTGGACTTGAGTGTCCGCCTCACACTGGTAACAAACAGATCAGCCCCAGGGCACCCAAGCACACACCAGCTCACCCCCCAAAATGAGGCCCCCAGGGCAGCTGAGGGCCA